TATTACATGTTTTTTAATAGTTTTGCTAATCTTAGCTTTTAGCTATGGTTTTGCTACATTGAACTTTTAGCCAGCCTTCTGCCATTTTTGCTAATGTTTTGATTCCTTTAGCTTTAATATTTCAGTTTCAGCTCCTTTTGATATTTTAAGAAAGCCATTCAGAGTTCAACTGCATTTTCAAAAAAAGTGATTTTTTTTGTCGTAGTTATTTTAACTACAGCGCTGCCTCTGCTGACTGTTGTACATCCTGTTTATTTTAGTCTTTTCTGATTCGTGACGGACGTCATGTCATGTTCATTATAGTTCTGTATGGGCTTCTTTTAAGTGTTTTATAAATAAAGTTCAGATGGTGATGAGCTCAGTTTAATTGTTAACTTGTTGAGAAGTGAGGCAGATACTGGACTAAAATAAGGAATATAAATCCTTTWAAAAAAATCATTGCTTGCACTGCTTAGTCTCCGTAGATGATTGTATATGTTAGCTTTGTAGAGACCTAATAAAGTGCTGTGTGAATGGGTAAATGAGAACCCAGATTGTAATGTGAAGTGCTTTGAGTGTCCTGGATGGATAGAAAAGCGCTATATAAGTACAGTCCATTTACCATTTACCATTTAAAGCATCTTCATGTTAGAGACACTCTCACTTTTAATCTAAAAGTCTACTTGAAGTGATGTTAGATTACTCAGCTCTGAGCTGTGTTGTCAAGAAATGATTTAGTGGAATTATATCATGATTTTATGTGTGCCTGGTTTTAAAAATACACCGTTTAGCTTCAGAAATCAGTCGTCTGAGTGATTAAACAGAAACCTCTCTGATTACAGGATCTCTTCAAAGCTGCAAAACGTGTTTTGAACTTAAACGCTAAGCCTATATTATTATATGAACRAATAAAACTACATCTAAAACATAATTTTAAAAAGAATATTGCATTTAGGTGAGGTTAGGTTATTTTGTAAGAAGCAGCTGACATGAGGGGAATTATGTTTACAAACCAATTATTTTAGGTTATTTAATGGAATGAAGTAGTTTCAGAATAAAATGRTGATTTATTTATGATAAAAAAATGTACTTCAGTTTTGGCTTCGATGTCAAAAAGTGAACGGGTGAATTGTGGTGAAAGCAGCGGGGAGCCTCAAGTCTGATTTGTTCTTTAAACAGACGTCGTTCCTGAGCACGCCACACCGCTCAGGAAGACAAATCCACCAGTTAACTGAGCTGGAAAGACTCATTCTTTAGGACAAAAAGAGAAAGAAAAACAACAACAGCTAATGGTGTTTTTCATTTCCATTCCACTCCCTAGTTAGCTGCAGAGAAAGGAGCTGACTGTGATAATGGTGAGTTATGGAGCTCTGAGGGATTCACACAAACCTTCCCAGAGGAACCCTTTTAACACAGACACTGTTAGTAAAGGGGAAAAAAATCACTGAGATGTTTTTTCTTTATTTTTATTCCGAGAATTAAAACATTTATTTTTCATCAAATTAAATTATGATAAATTGTATTAAGTGTCAGTGATTTTATTTTGCTTAAAAACTTGATTGCTTTGTTGTGCTTTTTCTCATTAAGATTAACTTTTTGCCACAGTGCGGGTTTTGAGATCAGCACGTTTGAACTATTTTACTGTAAATAGCTTCTCAGTGCACTTCAACACCTCCAATACTTTTTTTTGGTTCTCAATTAAAACATCAATTAAACTCAAACAAAACAGCAGAAACTGGAAGACAAAAAAAAGGATGCAAATGCAAAAGTCTTGCACGATAAACTATTTCAGAAGTGCTCTTAGAATTAAAGAATTAAAGATTGATTTTTTTTCGTTGCAGGTCCACTTCTAGGAAAACAAGAACAGGTCAGAAATGTGGTAACTTTGCCAACATGATGGAGCCTGAGTACGATGTGGTGGATGACCATGAGGTAGTGCACAGTGTGCGCATCCTTCCTGCCAGGCCCATAAACGAGGACAGAGAGTATGCAGGTAAAAAAAAAATGTCATACAGGCATCCTCTCTTTCATTTGGATTTGTTTTATGATAAAGCTTTTTACAAATAAATAACWCTTTTGTTAGGACTTAATCATTGTATGCAACCCATCTACATTGTCATTATTTCTCAAAATTATTAGAGCGAATAAAAATAGATATAGATACAAGCATCCACAAGCCTTTTCCTGCTTTCTCTTAAAGCAATATTTTTGCACTTTAGCTGACACATTGGGGCTAACGATGCTCTGGTGAGTATAATTAGGATAAAGCAGCTGAAGTAAGTTTGAGTAAAAAAAAAAACAGCTTCACTAAATATGTGTTGAGAATGAAAAGCAGCGTGGCTCTGAGTGAGAGCTCCTGCTGAGCGAGCAGGATCTGCTGCTGGGTCTCCTGGGCCATCTGTTGGCTGAGTCAGGCTGAAAGGAGATTACAAAGATCCACGAGCCGAGGTAGAACACAGACTCCACAATCCTGCTTCGATGAGCCCGCAGAACTGGAAGGAAGAAAAAAAAAAACACACTGAACGTGGCTTTTAAAGTGTTTAAACCTGGCGTCTTCTCCCTCTGCTGTGTCTGTGTGCTGCTGGAGCTGGCACTGACCCACTTCTGAGAGTGATTCAGGCAGAAAAGAGTTGAAACCATGGGCTAACACTGAAGCGGCTGAAACGTCTACCTGTACCGTGCAATCATTGAGTCATTTGATTTCCAGACAGGAATCCTCCGTGGTCATCCTGCAACCAGRGTGTTTCAGCAGTCGCCRCTGTAAGATTTCTTTTTCTAGAAACAAAGTTGCAAACTGCACGACTCTACTGCTCACACCCTTTATTTTGCTCTGTCGTTCTACCAATCAGTGTAGAGTCTCTCCCAGATGTTTCCCTCGAGAGATGCCACAGATTTCAGGTAAGTGTTTCTGTGGACTCACCAGCCATTTTATTAAAATACAACTAATCAGTCAAAATCCCTTTTTTTAGCCGTCAAATGCATTTTGTTGTGTGGAGTCCATTGGAAATTTTGAATTTAGTTTGCTGTGTGKATATCTTTATATTCTGTTTGACTCATCTTTTTTTCAACCAGTTCAGTTTGTTTTTATTACCTATGAATTTTTCCGGACTATTATATCACAGTATTTGTGACAGATCTACATAAGACAGGGCTATTCAACTAAATCGCTCTGGGGGCCACAGTTACTGCAGATCAACAGCTGAGGGGCCCAACATCCAGTAATTAAAGCCATTATATAAATAAACCAAGTATTACAAAGATCTGTTATCTTTGAAATAGTTTATTTTGCTGCATTTAATCATGAATACAACATACAGAACCCTATAAAAGTAGTAATAATTAAACAATATCAAAATCAAAAAGAACTCATTATTATAACACAAATATTATTTTGACATTGCTGATTTGACAAATATTTAAACCAATTTTATTTTTACTTTCATAGTTTTATCTTCACCTGCTTGTAATTTTAACTGTCTTGAGTGTGCATAGAAATGGTTTTAACCAGCTCCAAGATTCTGATGTTTCTGTAAATATCAAACATGTCTATGTTTAACTAAAATAACTCATAATTAAAGTAGAAAACCGGGGGTTTGGGCTTAAGAGATGAATGAACTAATTGGCGGGTCAAACTTTGGTCACTCGCTGGCTGGATGTGGCCCACGGGCCGCCAGTTGAAAAGCCCTGTAATAAGGTCTTGACTTACCAACTACAATTTGGCGGTCTTCATTCTCCTCTGGCCCCAACAAGACTGGATGGACAAGTTTTCCCTTGTTGACATATTTTAAAGTCGCATCTTTGCAATCAAACTAGAATGGACCGCTCTGGAAGCTGGAGGGTGGGGGCGGGGTGTGAAGCGCCTCCGTTTGTATTTAAAGAGACAGCTTCAAAACGAGTTGATCTCAGACACATCTGGTGAAGACGGCTCCTTTGAGTTCGAATCGAGCATCAGAACGGGGAAACAAAGGAGATTTAAGCGACTAACATGGTTTGATTTAGAAACTGTCGATTGACTGAGATTTTCCCAAACTGCTTTAAGATTTACGGAGAACAAAAGATGTGTGGATGAAAAAAAAACCTCACTGATGTCGAAGAATGAACGGACTGGTTTGAGAGGAGAAAAAGAAAAGCAACATTTGCTCAAATTGGTTCTATTTCCAGTCAAGATCTGACCACCTTAGTTCAGTCTCATCTTCCTCATGGTGTTTATTGGCAGTTGGCAAACAACATATTACATGCATTACCCCCACCCCGATGACTGCTCCACGTTCAATGTCACACCCCAAGTCCCTCAGAACGTGCTTCTGTCACCTGATTGGCTGATTATTTATTTGTGTTAACAAGCGGTTGAACAGCTGTATCTAATAAAGTGAGTAAATTGCCCAGAGATAAATTTTCTGGTGAACTTTTTCAGTAATGACACACTTAACTGAACTGAACTGGAATTGAACATGGTGATAAACCAGAGACTTATTTACACTTTGAATGAGTTTTACTGAAACTTAACTGCAAAGCTCAATGGTGCAAACTTTATTTTCAGGAAATGAAACTGGTGAACTAACAAGCCAAAGACACATATACTGATCGCAACTGTTGCTTCAGATTTAGGAAGATTTAAAAGACAAATGGAGATCAACTGACAAACAATAAATCCAGTATAAACTGATTAATCGTTGTTTCTAACAGCGTGCCGTTCTTCTCTTTAGTGCCTAACGCTTTTTCTCTCCTCTCTTCCTGTTTCTGAAACTCAGGGCCTGCTGTAAACAGAGACCAGAAGCCGGGGCGACGAAAGACTAAAATAAGTAACAATTCTTTAAACAGTTAAAAAGGTTTTGTCTCTCTGTCCTTCGCCGTTTCCGTAAATACTCACGTTTTGTGTTTACAGACAGGAGGCCGGCACCTCTGGCACCAGAAGAGCATGTAAACACTGTACATTTACAATTTTAATATCAATAAATTGTGCTGATTCATTTAATACCCTTTTTTTTATTTATTTATTTTTTTCTTATGTCTCAGGAGCCACACAGGTAACGTTTTCAATTCCTTCCAAAGATTTCAAAGACTTTGTGGTTTAAACAGACTTACAGACTGAGTCTGTGCTCTGCCAGGTGTACGCAACCTTCACCTTTTATCGTAGAGTTGTCCAGAAACTTTGGTGGACTGGCAGTACATGGGCCCAGCAGGAACGAGTGAGTACATTTTCAATATTTACGCTCTGTAAGAGCTTTTAGACGTAGCTGGATGTGAATAAAATTCGGTGTGAGCTGCAAGCTGCTACGTGTGCAGTGTGACTGCGCCATCTACTGGCTGAGAAAATAATGACATCACAGGTTGTCTGCAGTTTCAATCATATCATGTCTTTTTATTTTCAGCAGACAGCTGAGGTCAACTGAAAAGGTAAGTTGGAAAACRTGCAGAAAACTGTCAGTCTTTGCTAGTTTTCCTAGAAAAACTCAATCCGACCCTCATTCCTTTGAATTATGCTTCCTGGAAGCACAACGTTCCTAAAATCCACTCGCATGGCCTCCATGAAGCACTCTAGGTCTTTCCAAAGGGAAGTTTATTTCCACACTAAGCTTCAGTACACTTTTTTTTTTTGCACTTGACAAACAACGTGACCAACAATGTGTTTTTAAAATTGCATCTTGGACTCTTCGTTTGTTGCAAAAACACAGTTTGTTTGGTTGAGAATCTTTACAAAAAATACTAAAAATGAAGAGGTTTGACAGGCAAGACCTTAATGTGCAGTGCATCATAACTGGACAGCAGAGGTCTATAAAGTACTTGAAAAAAATAAACTAAAAATAAATTTACATGAGCAGAAAATGACTTTTGGTAAATAAAATCACTGAGAAAACTACTCAAGTAAAAATCATAAAACTGTTTGCAAAAACTGGAAAAGTAAAAGTACTTTTACACAAGACAGYGTTTTTTCAACCCTGGTCCTCAGGGCAAACTGTCCTGCATGTTTTAGATGTTTCCCTGCTTCAACACAGCTGATTTCAGTTGGTAACTAATTAGCAGGCTTTTGATGAAYTTCAATMATCTGAATCAGGTGTGTTAAAGCAGGGAGACCTCTAAAACATGCAGGGCAGTTTGTGGGGAAATTGAAACTATAGTGCATGTTATGTCAACCTGTAGGAAGTAGAAAGAAAGTAGGAAGTAGAAAGAAAGAACTGAAATGATAAGAAGTTTTGAACGAGAAAAAGAGCAATACAATCTTTTAATGTTATTAGGAAAAAAAATATTTTGATGCAAGTTATAAGATTATGTTTCATTATCTAATAGTAACGGGGTTAATTAAAATAATCTAGTTTTTTATTTTATTTTATTAATTTTTATTTGATTTGATTTTTTTATTTTTTTGCTTGCTAGTCCTGGTTCACACTCCTTACCGGTGGTGGCGGTAATGCACCAAATGTTGTTTGCCAACTGCTATAATAAAAAAAAACAAGAAGAAGAACATGCAGRGCAGTGTGCCTTGAGGACCAGGGTTGAAATCACTGCTCTGAGAAATAAACTGTTGAATTTACTGAACTAAAGCCAGGTTGAGTAAATTGAGTAATAGATGTAGATTATTTGCTCAATTTACTCAACTACGCTTAGTTAACATGGCTTTGTTGAGTAAATTCAACACTTTATTTTTTAGAGTGCATAAACATCTTCTTTCATGATGAGTTTGAACAAATTTAATTTTGCAACGAGGTGTTAAATTTTAAAATGAAGACGTAAAAGTACATTTTTTTGCTTTAAAATGTAAGGAAATAAAAGTAAAAGTAGCTATTTAAAAAAAACAACTGGTAGAATTACAAATCCTCAAAAAAAACTACTTAAGTACTGCAACGAAGTAAACTTATAAACCTCTGCTAGACAGAGAAGAAACAAGAGGCAGGTCTAAAAGTGTTTAGTATTGGTATTTTATATCTTGCAAAGAACTTTTCACTGACTAMACAAAAAATTACAGTCAAAATGTGTGATTTAAACTGGCTGCAAGCAACAATAGTTTAAAACTGATCTCTTACTAAGAACCCAGTATTGAGTCCTTGGTTATCATTAACAGGCTGAAAGACTTTCAGAAAGCTAAAATAAATATTCTTTTCAAAAACAACTAAAAGAAACTAAGGTTCTTTTGAAACAAGGAATTAAAGATGGCTGTAATTATTTTGTTTATCTTTTTTCTAGAAAGACTCCAATCTACCTTTAACAGGTAAAATTAGATGTGTTTGTTACATTTTTTAACACTGAAATGTTGCAGTATTAATCAAKTTAAATGTGTTTTCAGTCCCACGAACTGGAAAAAGTGTTTCGGCTCAACTGACCCATCAAAGACGATCTTTGGATCTGGAGACTCATGATTTCGACAATAGGTGCAACCTTAATTTTTCTTTGGTTTCTTCATGACGGTTACATCATGACACAAGACCAGAGTTACCTCTTTCTTTTTGTCTTATTTAGGACTCATCAAAGTTTAGGTAAGTATGTTAGAAACTATCACTTTGTCYAGTGTTTTGGAGGGGTGGGAAAAAAATCAAACCTAACTTTTCTTCATAGAAAGGGTGCCTTCTCGACGCCATCACCATGAGTGGCCTCAAACCAAAGAAGACCTTGACCAGAGTGACTTTTTACCAGCAGAGAAGCCAAATGTAAACATTCATTACTCACTAGTACATGGTACATTGATTATCATAATAATAATCATAACAGTCCTATAATAAAAAATGACAATTGTTACCTGAACCACTGACTGATTGCTGACTTCTTCCAACAGACYTACTGTGAGGAGGACTGGTACATCGGGGCATGCAATCGAACAGACGCAGAACACGCATTACACCTGGTGAACAAGGTACCTCAGTGATTAAAATGTTCTTCTTGAAGCACAGGAAGGCCTTTTCAAAACACATTTATTAATTTATTGGTAAAGTCTAACAAGGACACAGTGAGCTTCACAGAAAAATTGGAAACAGAGGCCAACAACCAGACTAAGTTTCATTAAAAAGACATAAGTTTTCCCGCTGTAACCTGTCAGGCACATTAGAAGAGAACTTGGAGTAATTTGTGGCGAAAGGTCAAAGGTTTAGAAGAGAGCAGAGGAGTCTAAAGTATTWACATTCATTATGTATGTAAGTAGAAGTATAGATATAAGGTTTAAAGACTTTTTTGGGAGTAGAAGTATCAACTCAAGCTCAAGTAACTACTTAAAGTATAAAAGTAATGCRAGCCATAAAGGTTAAAAGCTTAGGCCACACCAGAGATCTATAGTGAAAAAGTTGGGATGCACAAGGCTACCTGTTTCAGYAGCATATATATAGTATATCTGCCACAGTCATCTTCATACATCACAAATCCCATTGAAATTACAAATCTCTTTTGCAAGGGAGGCCTGTTTTTCAGTTTTGCAGACAAGCAATGGAGGTCTGGCTAATTCCATAAAGAAACACATTACAGTTATCAAGCCTGGATGCTTTGAATCCATGAATAACGGACTCAAGATTTATTTTTTTAGACAGAACTGAAAGAAGCACGATTTAATGAGTTTACATGACTGTTTAATTTCATGTAAGTGTCCATTTTTTTACTCCTAGATTGGTGACGATTTGTTTTTCAAACGGAGCAAAGAGAGGAAAGGTTGATGCAGGGGTTCCTGTTGGTGTCATTAGGTGGAAACAACATGATCTCAGTTTTTTTTTCTCACTAAATTTTAAGAAGTTTAAAGCCATCCAACTTCTGATATCAGCCAGGCAGTCAAGGAGAGGTTGGATGGAGTGAGGACCAGCATGCTTCATAGGAAAGTTAAATTGACAGTCGTCTGCTCCAAAAGGAAATGAGGTGCCATCATGTGAAAAACAGCACCTACAAGCAGCAGGTACATAGAAAAGCAAAAGGGTCCCAGAATGGAGCCTTGTGGTACCCCCTGCTTTTAAATCCACAAGGTTACAGTCCACAGTTTACCTGTAAAACAAGTCTAAAGCTGCACCATATTATTCTCACTGCACAAAAATAAATAAATAAATAAACTCCATCTGCTGCCGGACACAGACAAGATTTCCTGAACAGCTGATGTTTCAGCTCATTTATCTGGTTTTAAGTGAGAAATAAGGAGATTGCCCAGTTCTAACTGCCTACTTTTTTCCAGGGTATATCCCAGTTTCATCTGGGTTAAAGTTCCTACTCGAACAGCCTGGCCACAGAACGTTATACCCAGAAACCCTGGATTCATGACAGCACTCCTCTTGAGATTTTACTTGTTTACTGACTGGGATGATTTTTAGGAGTTTGGAAGTAAACTCCAAGGATGTTATTTTAACATTTACTTACACACTAAGACAACCGGTTAGATTAATTGTAAAAGATTACGTGAACTCAGAAAATTCCCCATTTAACACTCTTGAGACGGCATGAAAATTGTGGGGGGGAACAATACCAAAAATTGAATGTCCACACTGGCTTTTATAATTTTCTAGTTGCTGTATTTTATTAATATGTGATGTAACAAGTACAGCAGGAATTAAAAATCAATCACAAATCGTGACAAATTAAATGCATTAAACGCTTTAACTTTCCCTAAGTAAGTTGCTGTAATATGGTCAAAAATTATAAAACAGTAAATAAATCATGAAATAATTTTTAATCCACATCGGCAGAGACCAATCCTAAGCCATACCTGCATTATGAGCTTTTCTGGTCAGAAAGCAAGATGCTGCACTGGATTCTTCTGATCAGAGCGAACAGCAGGTCGGAGAWGAGCCTCTTCCTCCAAAGCTTTATTTTCTGCTACTATGATTTCATTTGCTAACCATGCTATCATTTAAACCTTCCTCCTTCAGCAGGAATCCAAGGAAAGGTCCAAATTTACCTGGAGCAGAGGAAGAAGACTCCAAATTCCTGATTACATGAGAGTTTTTTTTATCTGATTTGGAGGGTCCTCAGGATTTTTTTGATCAATCATTTGCCTTCATTTATTTCCTCGTTTATTTTAATTGGCCAGTCATGTCTCTGCCGACCCATCTCATCTTTTTCCTTTATCTTAACACTCAATACCTTTTTTTCTTTTAAATCCTTGATCAGTTTTTATACCCCATATTCATTTMTTTAGCTTTTATTTACTTTAGAACAATCACCGTCTTACTTAACCTTCAATTTTTCCTCATTTATCAGTGATCAAACTATGTAAAAGCAAAGCATTCTCTTGTAATCTAATGTAATTTTTTATCTAATTTTTTATTTTTTAAAGCTCAATTTAAACTAATCCCCATTTCACAATTTCACTTGCTTGTGTTATTTACTGACTTCAGATCTTAACCAACATCATTAATTTATATTCACACACATTTGATTTAATAATAAACAACCAAAAATCACCACTAAAACCTACTTTACACTCATCGCTGTTGTGAGCTGATGTTAAGCTGCTATTCATAATGGATATAATATAAGGTCTAGGGAGAGCAGCGAGATGGGCTCAAATTGATCAGAGTATACAACATTATCTAACAAGTTGTTGAGAAATTCCTCACTTAGTTGAGTGGAGGCTTTCAGGTGGGTGGGTTCACTGAGATGGAGACAGGAGCTTCTATAGAACTGGAGTGTGCAGAAACCAGGTGACCGTGTGATCGACTGGTGAAGCTAAAGGCTAACGCAAAACAGTCAAGAGTCTGTATTCCCCATTACTGTACATGTTGACAACAGAGCAGAAAAAAAGGACTGACGATGTAGAAATCATTAAAACTATAAATAATAATATTAAT